CGCCCCCTTTTCTGTGGACCGCCTCACGTGCCGCTTGACACTGTCATTATGTAAATTAAATTGTGGCGAATTATTGTTTTTATTCTTATTTTGTCGGTTATTCGGTTATTCAGGGTTCTTGTGTTGGCTTTCGCTTTCGCCCCTCCTTGCCATCCCATACCCATACCTTTCTCCAATTTCCTTAATTTATTTATATTTATATTTATTTATTTTTTTTGCCTTTGCTTTCATCTTGTTTTGCTTTCGTTTATTGTTATTGTTTGCTATTTCCATTGTTGTCCGAGTGTATAATTCATAATTTGCGGTCTTGTTACCATCCTTCGCCAACACCCACCGTTACCGCCTCTCATATCTGCTGACAAAGCAATAAAAGTTTCTCCGGCCAAGTTAACAAATCACCGGAGAGGCCAGCCAAGGGGGCGTGGCACCTGCTGATGGGCGGGGATCTTAACTAAATCAGTGAATGGTTTCAAGTAAATAAAAGGAATAATGAAGTTCTGGGCATCGAGAAGGCAAATCTATTTGAATAAGAAGGGCTTAGTTACTTAGCTTAATTAATTTTGTAAAAAAATTGTATACTTTTTATCGATAAATGTAACCTAACCTATAAATCTAACCTAACCTAAAAACCTAACCTAACCTAGAAACCAAACCTAACCTATAAACCGAACCTAACCTAACCTAACCTAAATGAAAAAAAAAAAAAATTGTATAGTTTTTATCGATAAATCGAACCTAACCTAACCTATAAATCTAACCTAACCTAACCTATAAACCAAACCTAACCTAGAAACCTAACCTAACCTAAAATAAATCGCTCACATGCTTCTGTGTATGTGAATGTATGAAGCACACACCAAGCTTCTTCAGAAACTGAAAAACAAAACACTTTCAGTAACAATATGAACGTCAGAGGAATAAGATGCTCTCTCTGGTGCCTGTCCCAAGAAACTTTTGCGTCTTTTTTAAAAATAAGCATTGTATGAAATGAGTAGTCTATATGTTATGTATTATATGATTAGACCTATTGGATTTAATCGGTAAAATATTTACAAAAAAGCTACAATTCTCTTTAATTTATAATGAAAATTCCCAATTCAAATTCCTCAACACCCTCACCTATACAATTTATTTCAATATAAGCCCCCCAAGCGACTACAATTTCCTCAAAGCACTTAAATGACGATCCATAACGCTTTCCTGGCCATTCGTCAAATTGTCATATTTACTGATGTGGCTATCCATTCGGCTTATGGCTTAGTACTTGGTATTCGTTGGCCCCTCCTCCCCCGAAAGGCAAACTGATGGAAACTGTCATCGATCCGTTTCAATTAGCAGGCAACAGTTCCAAGGAAATTGGCCTGCCTTTGGCCCTTTTCCCCCGTTTGGCTTAGTGTCTAGTGTCAGTTAAGTTCTTCTTCTCGTCTTCGTCCTGTGCTTCGTCCTGGCTCTGGTCGTTATCCTCTGCTCTGACCTCCCATCAACCACTAGACTCTTAATTAAGCCTTCAAGTAACAGACAAGACTCAAATACACAAATTTGGCTAACAGTTTGGGACAGTTTCTGAAGGAAATATTATTTTTAAACAAGGCCTGTGGGAAGTTCATATTAAAAAAAATTAGAACAAATTCACAAGGTAGAGATTCCTTCTTCGCCATAAAAACAAAATATCACAATATCTTAAATTGCGTATTTAATTTAATTTTATTTTGTAGACAGCGGAGAGGCAAGAGAATCAAAAAACAACAAAAGAAAAACGCATCATAATAAACGACTTTTGATGGAACACTTAAAAAAAAAGAAGGCGGAGGAGGTTTATATCTATATATGTATAAAAACCAAAAGAAAAGGGACCTAGAGGTGGTCAGCCTCGAAGGGAAAGCGTTTCGGTCAAAAGTCGGCACGTGATTGATGTGCGTTTATTGTGGCATTCGTAATGGCCAACAAAAATGTGTTCGACAGATTTTTCTTAGATACCCTATGAACAAAAAATGAGGGATACCAGACCATAGGAAAAGGTCTACACTAGACTTATATACACGTATTAAATTAAAGTTTTCTCACAAAACTACTTAGGCTTTTAAGCTGGATTTGAAAAATTTTGCAAGTTTTTCCCTAAGGTATGTTTCATTTGGAAACATAAGAAGAACAACAACAAAATACAAGAAACAAACAAACCGCAAAGTGAAAGTTAGCGAAAGCAGGACTTTCCTTTGTCTTGGTTTGTTTGTTCCCTCGGCTTGTGTTTGGCCCTCGCCTGGCCACACCACCAATAGGACATCAAGGACACTTAAGGACATGTCGCAGACACTTGGTAAGTAAGCCGTCCCAACCCCCCCATACCTCACTCTTTAATAAACCTGGCCAAGCAAATCATAAAAATCAAAAGAAAGCTTCATGGGGGGGAAGAAAAATAAGAAGAAATTCGAAAGAATTAACAACGCGTCAAATCAGGACAAGCTTAGAACAGTTTTATGCGATCCTTCCACTTTTATGAAGGACTTTTATTGCCTGCGTTTATGTTTTTCCTTTCCCGACATTCCCTTTTTATATATTTTTATTCCTTTCCTTTGATTTTCTTTCCTTTTGCCTTCGACATGAAATTATTTTGCATGTCGCGCACCATAAAAACTCAAGCGTCTAGCAAATTTGGGGCTAAAACCTTCTTTAGACTCCACAGGCCGGAGGTTGCAACTTTTCCCATAAAACCCACAGATAATCCCAGGCCCCGGACCATCTGTGACCAAATTAGAGGATTTCTAGGGATTATACCGATTCCGGGCGATCGGTTTTGGCCAAGACGTTTATGTTTTACGACAGGGACTGGTGGTCGTCAGCGTTTGATGTTAGAGAATTTGGAGTCAATTATAAGAGTGGACAAAATTTTAAAAAAAATATCGCAAACTCCAAACAGCTTCAGAAAGACAGACTTTAGCAAATTTTGAAAAATATCAAGCGATGGCCGATCAGTTTAACAATTTGCGTCAGAAGAATAAATCCATTATAAGAATTTGGATGTTAGGGATGTTAGAGAATTTGGAATATCTTAGAGATTATAAGAGTGAAAAAAATTTTAGAAAAATATCACCAGAGTTTGGAAAGTTTTAAAACAATTTAAAAACGAACAGCTTCAGAAAGTGTTTGGAAAATGTTAAAAAACATCAAGCGATGGCCGATCAGTTTAACAATTTACGTTAGAAGAATGAATCCATTATAAGGATGTAGAGATGCTAGAGAATTTAGAATACCTTAGAGATTATAAGAGTTAACAAAATTTTAAAAAAAATATCGCAAACTGCTAACAGCTTTAGACAGACTTTAGCAAATTTTGAAAAATATCAAGTGATGTTTAACAAGTTTAACAATTTGCGGCAGAAGAATGAATCCATTATAAGGATGTAGAGATGCTAGAGAATTTAGAATACCTTAGAGATTATAAGAGTGGACAAAATTAAAAAAAATATCGCAATATCCGAAAAGCTTCAGAAAGACAATTTATCAATTTGCGGCAGAAGAATAAATCCATTATAAGAATTTGGATGTTAGAGAATTTGGAGTCAATTATAACAGTGGACAAGTTTAATTTGATGTATATATGCTAGAGAATTTGGAATACCTTAGACATTATAAGAGTGGACAAAATTAAAAAAAAAATATCGCAATATCCGAACAGTTTGAGAAAGACAGAGTTTGGGAAATTTAAAAAAATATCAAGCGATGGAAAATATCAAATGAAAAAAAGAACCAAGCGAAATCCATTACAAGAGCTTCCAAAGTTATAAATCCCATTTTAATATTTTAGTTTTCTTCAAAAATATGGTTACGACAAATACCGTACTTGTTTCCGCGTTGCCTCCCAATACTGGACTGGACACTTCACGAAGAAGTGACAGGCACCCTGTGGGATCAGCTGGCGAAAGGCATTTTGAGAAATGCCGATACCTTAAGCTTACGGTATATCGAAATAAAGTGTTCCATCACTATCGTTCACTGGCACGCCTGAGCTTCACTCCGTGTCAGGGAGTCAACGAGAGCAGATCTCTAATAGCGGCTGATATTGAAAATGCAATGGTCTACGAAATTAGATAGGGCCCTAAGCAAGTGTTGCTTAAAATAATAAATATTTATTTATCGGTATGACGAGCTGGTTATTGGGCTGATGCTTCGGGTAGCCAAATTTGGAAGGATTACTGGACCATCCGCTGAAACACAGAGGCAGGCACTAAATACACTGAGTGAAAAAAAATAAAAGTAGGTGGGCGGCGGCGTTCGAAATTAATGAATTAGGAGTCAATTATAAGAGTGGACAATATTTAAAAAAATATCGCAAGAAAGACAGAGTTTGAAAAATAAAATAACCAACATCAAAATGGTCAGCCAATAATTCACTGCAGAAAATAACATTTATTATAAGAGATAGGAAAAAAAAGGATCGCACTATGGCCGACATTATTTATATTTTAAACAGCCTACAAACAAAACATGTAAACACTAAGGTGCGGAAAATAGAAACCGCCGCAACCGCTGGAGCTTTTGAAAGCTTTTAATAGTAAAAGGGTTTCAAAAGTGCAAAGGCAATCAAATCAATAATTCGCTGCAGAGGCAAACGTCCATTCTTCATTTATTATAAAAGTTTTGGAAAATAACAAACGTCCACGACTCCACAAGTACCAGTTGAGTACAGGAAGAATTTTTATAATAATTCTTCAATTTTAGGAGCGGAACGGGATACAAATTATGACTTCTGCTCAATGCGGATGAAATAATGCCCGCCAATTACTCTTTGGATAGCCTGGGAAGAGATTCCCTAATGATAAAGCCTAGAAATGTGTTAAAGGTTGAAAAATTTTCCATGCGAATTCAAAAAAAGGACATGCTGCGACACAACATCCAGATATATCAAAAAAAATTTTTACAAATAATAAGACTCGATTAGAGAAAATAAATTAAAATAACACGTTTTTTTTTTTAAAAATACAGCACACGGAGAGTATACTCACTCGTGATCGCGGTTGTGCTTGTAGGAGTCGTGGTAGCGCATGCGCAGATTCCGGCGGATGTCGCTACTGTCGTTGGCGTGCCGATTGTGGGAGAGCGCAGCCGGAAGCAGTAATGCCATTTCTGCAAAACAACGGAAACGGATGCTGGTATTAACAAAAGCAGATAGTTCTCAACTTTTCATAAAAAAAAAAGTTATTTTAAATTATATTATAAAACAAAAATATTTTTTAAAATATTGTAGGAATATTTATATATATTATTATATATAAACAGCAAATTAAATCGAAACCAAAAAAAAGAAAATAAATCTTAAAACTAGATGACGCTTGGGCGAGCTCCGGATCGAACTGCGTCTTGCTGGGTGGAAGCGTCTTCCTTTTATTCCCAAAAATCAGCTGACTTCTACAAAGCTAACAGCTGATGGACTTTTGGGATTTTTGTCAATTCGAATGGTCACACTTTTAAGCTAAAAAAGCTTCAATTTCATATAAAATTATAGTTTCTTACTAGGTTTTGAATAAAAGCCATAAAAACACAACTAAATAAGAGTATTTTTTTGTATATGGTTTTTTTTAAGTATAATTCTTATTCTTGTAGAGTAGGACCATGTTTTTATAATAGGATTATGGATATATTATCTTTCTTTTTTATTAAAATTATTTATTATAGATATCATACCAATTAGTAATCATATGTTTAGTTTTTAAAAAGCTCTTAAAACTCTGCCATTTTGTGGATTAGTGTGGCATCCCTTTTTTTCTGTAAAATACCGCATTACTTGGTGTGCCCGTATTTTTTGGTGAGCGATCAGTTTGGCGCCATTTTCGTAAAAGCCCAAAGGTACAAAGCCAAGAATAAAGTCTCCGGAATCTCCGGAATAGATGGCCATTGCTTTTCCATTCAGAGACGTCATATTATGTCGCTACGTAAGCTGCTCATTCAGTCAGTTTCAGTCGGCTTGTAATCAATGTTAGGAAACAGTAGATAGAGGACGCATTCTAAATTATTGTTATTTTGTGACGGCCCAGTTTTTGGAAAAAAAAAATATTACAAAAAAAATAGAAATCCACAAAAGCAAAATTGCAACTTCTGTATGAGAGCTTGATTCACTATTGCAACCAACGAGGAGCGAGGAGGAGCGCACCAGATCGGTGTCCAGAGGACCAGGGACCGGAGGTCCAAGGACGTCCCAACCACACTCCATACCTATGCTGGGTAATCTGCCATTGTTGGAGTTCGCTGACCGCGGCGACGGTCTCCAGCTGAACAACGGTAATCATAACGGCAACGGTGACCATGGCCATGGTAACGGGCATATGGATAATGGTGCAGCCCGTCAATGGCGTCAGGCCGTAAACCATGTCCTCCAGCGTCCCCTGAACGAGCGCGGCCGTTTCCGGGATAGAGACGGCTATGGTGAACGGGTGCGAGAACGAGAACGGAATCGTGAGAATCAGCGCGACAGAGAACGATATCGTCAGCGGGAAAGAGAACGAGCCAGGGAGCTGGATCTGAATAGGGACCGGAACCGTGGAACCGACGGCGATCGCCGACGGGAAGGATCCAGTGCCACGGCCAGTGAACGCGAAAGGCAGATCAGTCTGGAGCGACGGGCGTCGGACGAGCTATCCGGCCGTTTGGCAGCAACGGCGGCCAACGCCATACCGGCCGTACGGCGTCTGGTTAAGGAATTGCAAGTGATGGAAACCGATCCACCGGAAAACACCTGGGCCCGTCCCAAGTCCATGAGCAATCTACTGAAATGGCGGGCCAAGATCCGGGGCCCCGAGGGCAGTCCCTACGAGAACGGTATCTTCGAACTGGCACTCAGCTTCCCGGTGGCATATCCGTTCGAGGCGCCCATCGTTCGCTTCACCACGCCCCTCTACCACTGCAACGTCAACGCCCTGGGCTACATCTGTGTGGATGTCCTCGATGAGCAGCAGTGCTGGTCACCTGGCCTGACGGTCGACAAGTTGCTATTGTCGCTATCGGCACTACTGAACGATGCCGATCCACTAACGGCCTACAATACGGAGGCAGCCGGGCTGTATCTGAAGGATCGGGAGCAGTACGACAGCATTGCCCGATCTTGGACCCAACGTCATGCCATGGACGTGCCATGGGACTGAGATATGGCCACGAAAATGAATATAACAATAATAATGGTGATGGCAGCGGTGTCGGTGATGATACAAATAATAATAATAATAATGATGATGAGAATGGTGGTGATGATGCGGATGATGGTGATGGCAGTAGTTGCAATGGTGAAGACTGTGGCAGGAGCAGCAGGAGTAGCAGCAGCACCGGTCGTGAAGCGTGGAGCCGAGACAGTTTTGGACAAGGTTTCGAATGTGATTGAAATAGAATTTTGGAATAAAAATGATGGTGTCCTCTGTTCAAAATGCACAGTGAAGAAATCGTAGAGTTTGTTTTTATTTCTGGGCGGGAATATCCTTTCTTTCAGGTACATCCACCCACTCACATATGTGAGCCACTCCTGGCACCACCAACTTATGCAAATTTAACGAGCCAAGTGCTAAACCGCTGGAGGGTTTCTCCCCCAACCCCCACCATTTGCATAATCAAATGCCATATTGTGGGTCTCGTCCTTTTCAAGGTCCTTGTGCCGCAGGCAGGGTTTTCTTTTTTTTAATAATTTAAATATTTTAATTTTTATCCGAAATTAGATTGTTGCCTCATGACTTAAAGTTGATAAATTTTGATGCACTTGCTGGGCAATTATTTTTATAGCCATGTTGTGTGGTGTTTTGGGCCAAAGACTAAGCGCACGTGTGCCAAATGTCGCAAAAAAAAAAAAAGAAATCCTGGCAACCAACCGACCGGAAAACTTCCCCAAAAATGTTTGGGGTGTGCATCTGGGGGAGGTTGGGTTGCTAAATTATGTAGATGGCAATTACCGCAGAGTTCTTCGAACTGTAGCGGGGATTTCACGCGGGGTCACCCCACCAGGATCATGCACATTTTATGGCCAAAGCCCTCTGCCATCCACGGCACTGGCTCCTTAACTTTTGTCCTTGCTTTAATGCCGTTTACCTGTCTTTAGCTTTTACCTTTTGGCCCTTTACCGGGCCACGCCCCCTTTCGCCTTTTGTTTACCTTAATTATTGCTCATGTGTTCCCCCCCCCTAAAGACACACACACACTGCTGAGACACAGTTGCCTTGTTTGTTAGCAATTAAGTTGGAATTAGAAAATTTTTAATAGCATACTTAAGGGCGCACCGCACTGACACATTCCGTTTCAGTTTCCGTATCCGTATCCGCATCCGCATCCTGTGAGCCTTCAGCAAATTGAATTTGTCTTGTCTAACAAAAGTTGTATTCAATGTTTGCAAGGATCTACAAGGATATGAGGCTCTTTTCAGACGAAAGTGTGCGGTTCAAAGTTCACGAAGAAAAAAAGGATATAAATTAATTATGATTATGGTTCTGGTTCTGGCTGAGACGATCTATAATCGTAAAAGATTATGTCTTTTTGGGAAAAGGATATATATAAGGTTTGGTATGAAATCTATTTTTAAACGATCTATTTAACTTATTATCCTTTTCATTCCTCATATTATTTATTAATAATTATTGTATAAATCATTTCATATCCTTGCAAGGTCCTGTAAATGCCAAGGCCACCAAGATCGGACATCCTGCGGCCTTCTGTCTCACGGCTATTTAAAAGGCAAACACACACACACTCTCCCGCAGACAGACTGGCTCCTTTGGAGGACCTTCAGCGAGAGAAGGGTAAGTGCCAAAAACAATAAACAGCTTAAGCGCATTATGAGCTTTAAACACAACCCACCCACCCACACACTCAGACAGACAAACACACCCACCTACCAGACACTCCAGGCCAGGCAGCTTTAATTAACATTTACGAAGCACCTTAAACAAGGATATAAATACACAAGCCCCTGTACACATATATACATATCCATAATTCCACAGTTATCCTTCCGAATAGGTCAACTAATTATAGGAATGGTGGCTCTGTGAGTAGTGGAGTATTTATTTTATTTTGGCTCTGACAGGACAATTGAAATTAGCGCTGAAATACAGGACTGATTAGTGATTACATATTAATATTTAATCGCTTGCCATTCAAACGAATATCCAAATTGCATATTCATTGAAAATGTTGGCAAATACCAGCAATTAATTTTCAAATATTGTGTTTATGCTTTTGGCGGTTTCCTGATTATGTTTCCAATTAAATATATAATTAGATAGAGGGATAGAGATTTTTTTGATTGATGTAGGGGGACGGGGATCCCCTGATTATATTGCCAGTTTTGTTCCGATAATTATTATAGTATTTAATTTCATTAAAAATATGTCACGACTTTAAGGACATCCAACAATGTATCCATCCTTTAGCTTGCAGTTGGCAGCAGCTCTATTCTCTTGGCCAGCATGCGGTTAAATAATATTTTAATGACAGCAATCAAAGTTTTAATTAAACGCTTAAAGACTTCCACACACATGTGTGCTTAAAAAAAACAAAAAATTAAATAGAAAAAAAAAATGGGAAACCGGAAGGCGAAACTAAAACCAAACAAAAGTGGGTTGTGTTGGGTGGGTTGTGCTGGTCTCAGGTCCTGATTCTGGTTCTGATTCTGGTTGTGTGGAAAGGCACGTCCATGGCTAATGGAGCGCAGGCGTCCCAAAACATAAACAAAAACTTTCGCAGCGATATTTTAATAGTTTTCTCCCCCACCCTTAAACTCCTTCCTCCTCCTCCTGCCAGGGTCTTTGTGTTTGTAAGCCGGCGGTGACACTTAGCCAAATATAATATGGCTTTTATGTCAGCCACTTGCAGAAAATTGCTTTGGCTACAGCCGAAGAGCCAAAGCTAGGTGGTATGGTGGTGGTAGGTGGTGGTAGGTGGTGGTGTCGAGGGTCTATGACATTTTTTTGTCGCCAACGCTTTAGCACTACCACCCCATATTTTCCACCCACTTCTGCAGCTTTCTTTCACGTACTCGGTCTTTCTTGTTTGGAGTTTGGCAGATCCGTTTTTGCTCTGCCTTTTGCCCGTGCAGATGTCAGTGCACTGAAAAAAATTCATATTTAATAGCAATATTCAAATATTTAAGCCATGTCCCTACACAGTTTCAGTTCTTTTAAATTTCAGGCATTTTTTACTTAAAAACACGAAGGAAATTATGCTGAAGCTTTAAATATTGCATTTTTATGGCCTTAAGTATCGGGTATGCATAGCCTTATTATCCTTTAATCAAGGACATCAACCGAAACTATTGTATTTTCGCAGCGTGCATGCAAAAAGGCAATTTAAAAAAGTTTCCACTTGCAGCAGACAGCCCAAAAACAATGGACCAACGGACTACAGCACCAGGACCTCGACCAGGATCACAAAAAAACACACACACACACAGGCACGCACACAAAAAAACCAGGATAGCTGAAGCTGAAACTGAAGCGCGACTCGGACCGGACCCGGGGACCAGCTGAAGCTAGAGCTGGAGCTGGAGCTGGAGTGCATCCAGAGGTCTTTGATGTCCCTGTCAGTCTACTTAGTTTGGTTTAGGTGCAAAGCTTTTTGCCTCCGATTCCTTCTGTGTCATGTCCGCTGCTGCTGGTTCAGTTCCAGTTCCAAAACAAAAACAAACCAGTGGGCGAGTGGAGAGTCTCGTCTTGATCGAATCAGCGTGTTTATGACGGCTGAACCTCTTGTCGGGCTAAGCCAAAAAAATTAACTCAATTATTTGGATCTTTAAAGCTTTAAATCGTTTTAAATACTTGCCCGAAAATAATTCTGAAGAATTTTTCATTATTTTGGTTCAGTTCTAGAGACGAGTAAACTTGCGATATGCAAGCAGTGGCGATAGTATCGACAACGTAGCGTTGCCACTCTGTTTCTTTTGGTACTTTTTGCACATCACTAAGCTTGCAGCAAAATGGCACCTGCTTTAAAGTATATAAAGTAAATAGGTATATACATATATATATATATGTATATTTTTTTCTTTATGTATCACAACTCTTTTTTGTTCGAGCCTTGAAAAATTAGAAAGGGACAACTAGTCTCCGACACTTCCCCTCAAAATGCGTCTGCATACGATCGAAAATTCTAGAAGTATCTGAAAATAATTTTGGCGGGGCTTGCAATAAACATATATGTATGTATGAATGTATGTATGATGTACATATGTATGTTTTGCAAGCCCCATGTTCATATGTATGAGTATACACATGGATGAGTTTTCAGGGAAACATGCCTTCTTGGGGTTTTTTTTAATTAGAAAATGGCTATTTGGAGAAACCCCCAACTTTTCAATAAAGAAATGAGAAATATTTTGTTATTAAAAGTCTTTTTTGTAAGGTGAGTGTGTGGGTTTTTATAATATGTCTTTGTTGGTTTATTATGAAATATATAACATACATATGTATATCTGTCTTTATATATTTTCTTGAAAAATTAGAAAGGGACAACTAGTCTATCGTTACTTCCCCTCAAAATGCGTCTGCATACGATCAAAAATTCTGGAAGCGTCTGAAAATAATTTTGGCGGCGTTTCCAATACACATGTGAGTTTTCACATACATGTCTCTCTGGCCGCCATTTTGTTTTTCCTCATTCCTTCATTCGTCTTTGGCGTCCATTTTCTTTTTCATCAGAAAATGGCTATTTTGAGAAAATCCCGATTTTTTCCCCGAAAAAAATATTTTATTAAAAAGAGTATTTGTTTTAGGAATGTGCGTTTTTATTCTGTTGGTTTGGTTTTTGTTTAATCTATTACATTTTAGGTGTTTGTGGGCATTGGGAATATTGTTGTATGTGTATGTGTAATGTGATTTTTGTGTGTGTGTATGAAGGTGTATGATTGTGATTTTTGTGTGTGTGAATGGGAATGTGTATGATTGTGATTTTTATGTGTGTGTCTTATGCGAATTTTGTGTGTGTGTATGTGAATGCATATGATTGTGATTATGATTTGTGTATGTGATTTTTGTGTGTGATTTTTGGTTTACAGTTTTTGGTTTTGGTTGGATTTTTTTGTAGCGCACATGGTAGTTTGAGTATTTAAAATGTTAATATTAAATGTTGTGTATAATATATGGATTAGTGAATAAATCGAAGGCACAAAGTTTACAGCGTCAAATTTATAGCAATTTGTTGTTGTTTTTGCGAAAAGATCTGTGGCTGCAGCACTCGGTCCACCACGTGATTACTCCTCCTTGTCATCGCTCTCGTCGTCAGCCGATGTTTTGGGCTTTTTAATTTTGAGTTCCAGATGTTCTAATAGAGAGTCCATGCCCTCGGAAGCGGCACGTTTGGTGGCTTTCTTACCACTGGTCGATGCGCCTGCGCTTGAGTCCGAAGATCGGGCATTTTCCTGTAAACAAAGTTTTATATTTACAAGTCCCCCTACATAATATCCCCCATATTTGTGGCCATTCACCAAACTTACCTCAGTCCACGATTCGCCGGTAACTGATGCACGTCTACCGCCTGGTCCGCCACGTGAATTCTCCTTGGGAGCCCCAACAGATTCGGTATCAACATTCGATAGCAACTCCGACAGCGGAGTGGCGCAACGCAGTGCCTGCTTGCGAGTCATCGGTTTCGAAGAGATCTTGGCCTTGCCATCGGCCTTCTTGCTGCATGATGGTTTCTCCTTCAAAGCATTTTCAATTTCATTCTCAATGTCGCTATAGTCAGAAAGAGGCTTGTCCAACTCATGCTCCTCCGCAGCCAATTCCTTATCAATCTCATCATCCGAGTTCGAATTGCTATTTGCGAATGCTTTTTCGATCTCATCATCGGTGTTGCCACCAGCATCGTTTAGGTGTCCACGAAAGATAGAATCATCCAGCTCTTGGCTCTCATCGTCTTTCTTATCTGAATCTTTAGCCACGGCTTTTTCTGGTTTTTTCTCTGATTCGGCCGTCTCCTTAGCCTCGGTAGTGTCTTCGTCACTGGTGAACTTTTCCTCATCGGAAGACTCGATGCGCTCGGTAGTCTCAAGTTCTAGAGCAGCAGCCACGCTAGGAGGATTCGGCTGTTCAGCCAATGGCTCCTCAAGAACCTCATCCCGAGGAACTTCACCAACCTCAGCCTCCGGATCCTCCGCGGATCGAACCTCACTTTCTTTGAGGACTACGTCCATTGTCAAATGAGTTTTCTTTCGATTTAGAAAATAAACTGTTTTAAGGGATGGACTTGTTAAGAAAACACAAAAACTTTCACCAAAAACAAAAAAAAGCTATTACCGAAGCTGATGTTTGAAGATTACTTACGACCTTCTCCGGATGCCGTCGAAGACGAAATGAACGAGTGTCACCAGAACGGAAGCCCACGAAGTTGGGCGCAGTTAAGTTTCACGGAAATGTCACTTTGATGAACTGGTTCCCTACACGATATATACGATATTTCCGAAAGACGGTAACACTAGAGTCGTGCACAATTTAAGGAAAAGGCTTATATTATAGGAATTTTTTCTAAAATAATAGGAATTTCAGCTAAAATATTCCCATTTAAATATAAATTTTTTTGAACGATCGCGTTTTAGGTTTGGGATTATTAATTATTATGTTTTTATAAAAAACTTTTTTTTTTATAAAACATAAGTCCTTGTTCCAGGGCTGGTCCCACTAAGGCACTTATGGCTCATTAAAAACATATGTTTTTAGCTTTTTATCTTTAAAAAACATATGTTTTTTTATTTTATGAATTAGTTTTAACCTAAAGTTAGTCAGGAATATTAAATTATATTTAAGATTAGAATTCAAGACAAATTTTTTAGCATAGATTAGCTTTTTAAAGTTAATATTTATATAGCTATTTAGCTTTTTTTTTAATTAGGCTGATTTATGTTTTGAATATACGATATTAAAGCTAGTGGTGTACTTTTATAACACTACACGGGTACTTTTCTAACACTTTTTCTTGTCCACCCCCAGTTTGATGTTTTCTTTTTTTAATTAATAAATAAATAATAATTTTATAATCATTTTTAAGAGTTGTTTTCTATAAAATTATTTTTGTTTAATTTGTATTAATAATAGAATATTACTTGCAACTTGGTGGCTTGCAAGAAGAGACCTACAAACAAATATTAGGTCTTTGTTTTTAAAAAAAAGCTGACCCAGCTTGCTAAATTTTATAAAAAAAGCATAGTAAAATATTTTTAATTTATTTTTTAGTCATAATATAAAATACTAAAACCACTTCTCAAAACAAAGTGCATCTGTAGTATTTTTGGCGCCACTAAAAAGCCCTAATTGGTAAGTTCTTAGGTCCGATCGTGTAGTTAGGCCTTTATGTCGTTAAACACGTTTTAAAAATTATCCCAATGGTTTAAATTAAGTGAAATTAAAATATTTAAAGCCCCAATTAAAGTGATAAGTTAATTTCTTTACTTACCTCTTAGAATCTTCTTGTCGCGATGTCCATGGCATCGGTATCCCTGGCATCCGCGTTTCTGGAGCAACGTGGGGCAGTGCTTGCCACCATTTTGGGCCGCCTGTAGGATTTGGCGGGTGCGGGTCATCATGCCGGTGCCGCAACTCTTGTCGCACTCACTCCAGGCACCCCAGTCGCCCACCTGGCAGTCCAGCACTGCAAGAAAAGATCAAAGTTTGGTTAGTTTTTGGGGCCAGAAAGTCCAAAATCGAAGATGTTGGGGGCCTATAATAGGGTTGGGGAATGGCTCTTGACACGCCCTGCTTGGGCCCCTTGAGCGCGCTCTCAAGTTTTTTAATTAAAATGCTGCAATGGGAAAATTAATTAAAATCCATACGCCTTGATTGCACTTCTTGCCGTCCAAGGTCCACGTTCGCAATCCATGCCTTCACTGCATTGGCCAGCTAGCCCAGCCACCCACTTTGGCCCATAAACCCCAAGCCATCACCCAACTGTGGTTAGGTGTTAATCAAGCTCCACAAGTCGCCCCACATTTAGTGGTCCCCCTCGCCCGCCCCAGGCAGTCTGCAGAGCGTGGCGAGGCGCTAATGAAGCCGCAAAAAGCTTGCCACAAACGAATTGCAATTCGTTGCCTTCCATCATGCCTGTTTGCTCAGCTGTTGCATGGAGCTGGGAATAATCTTTATGGCTAAAATGTTTGGACCTGGCCGGGGGTCATATACATAGCTTATTGGTCAGAAAATATATAGCCTTTGATTCATTTCAGAGGAACTAGCCAGCGGAGGAAGCCTCAAGGTTCGAACTTCGAGATCCGAGGAGTGGAGATGAGGTTTCTATTAAAATTTTATTTATTTTTAATTTAAATTTATTGTTTCTTTTAATTTTAGGTAGTCTATTAAAATAATATCTTTAAGAACCAAGGTCTCTAAGGTAAGATACATCCTAAAACCTTCTCCCAAAAATATCCTTCATTAAATAATCAACAAACTTTGCATTCCAGCTGGTCTATTGGCAAATTTCGAGGGATTTTTAATGGCTATCTGCATATATCCTGGAGGACGAGGATTCGTTCCAAGTGATTTGCCCAAAGGCAATATCCTGCCGGCATGGCATTGGAGGATGAGGATAATTTCGCGCAGTGCACAAAGGCAATTTCTATTTTCATTTTACACTTTGCCTCCTGGCAGCCCTGCCGGTCCTGCTGGTGCTGCTGGTCCTGCTGGTGGTTCCCCCCTTTTCTGACATTTCCTGGCCACCGTGGCAGTAACCGTTCGCGCCCCCCTTATCATGCCATTGGCTTTTTATTGTGGCCGGCGTGGAATTAACAACAAAAAAAAAAGGCACACAGCACCACAGCACAGTACAGCACAGCACAGAGCTGCTGAAAAGGACGAAAAGGACAAGAAGGCGTCGTCGCTGGAGTCGCGAACAAAGCGCCCAGGATAATAGAACTAAGTGCAGGCGCCGCTAGATGACAGCTCTGGAGGGTGGAATAAAACTAAAGTAGTTAAAATTATGATTGCATTGGCTCTGGCCTGGCTTCAGCTTCTCATTTCCACCTCCTTGTTGGTTGGATCCTTTTTGGTCCTTTTGCCCCGACTTGGGACGCTGGCGGTGGAGCTGCTGGAGGAACTGCTGGAGGAGCTGCTGGTGGTGTTGGAGCGTTTAGCATATTGTACCAAGCCCATGAATGCGAATGCGGGCAAAGTTTCGCCACAGCCAAGGACTTTGGAGCTGCTACTACACTCTGAGAAATATTATGTGACACTATGCTAGGTCTTCACTACTAATCCTAGTAGTTTTTTTTGCAGTGCTGGGGCTGCGCTTGTTGTGGCAATAAATGGCATTATGCTGCTTAGCAATCATGCCACTTGATTGTTGTGGCGCAGCGACAAGGAGCTGAAAATTAGATGGCCAGCCAGAACCAGGAGGCAGGAGGATGCAGGCGGCACTTGGACGCCTTATACCTGACCCCAAAAGGATAATGAAAATGGCCAATAGGACTCAGTTCCTGGCGCTGCGATAATTGAGGACAGGACTGTTGGAAACAGATTTCTGATTCGGCTTATGGTTAATGGTTGATGGTATTGTAATGATTGCTTTCCTTTCTTTAAAGAGAAGGACCTTTAAGGCTCTATTATCCTAATAATCTCTCTCTCTGTTGTCCTAGAAACTCCATCTCTAAAGCCAAAAAAAAACAGGACCATAACATTTCAGAATCGCAGCAGATGCACTCGACTGGAGTACTTGTCATTGGCTTGTTGCAGATTCCAATGCCATTATTGCTGAATGCTGGATGTTGCATGTTGCAAGCTGTGACTGTGCCACTGCAACTGCATTTCCTTGGGGGCTCATATGCACCGCATAACTCACTGTCCGACGCTGTGGGAGTTGGGGCGAGACTGTTGCCCAGGACATGGTCAGCAGAGGAGGCAGCTGGGCAACTGGAAACTGGAAAATACTCGCCACAAGGCATGCCACGCCAGGCCGCAACACCAGGCCAGGCCGCAGGGTTATTTGTGGTCAGCGAAGTAAAACAAATGGCGTCAAATGCGGCTGCCGGTTATTTTGGCGATGCACTTCAAGAATTTCCAGCATATTTTTCGGCCCAAAATGAACAAGGACTAGGAGCCAGAAAGGACCTTAAATAGTGAGTTTCATCGCAAAAATATGTATTTTTTAAGCTTTAAAGGTCTTAATAAGAGTATCATCTATATTTTAGTACCTAATACTAACTAGTTATTTTCCAAGTGTGATATTTGAACAGCGCTTTTGTTCCACTGGTTGGTTCTTGTGTGTGTGTCCTGTTGTCGACTGGCCTGTCCTGCAGTGTGTCCTTTGGACAAGTCAAGTAAAGTCAAACAATTGCTGCTGACAAACTCAAGTGCGCTAGATAAGCGGCCAAAAAAAAAAGGGACACTGAAATGTGGCAACAGCTGTGCCACCGACTCTAATTACATAACAAGAGACGGCGTTGTTGCCTCATTTCTGGCACTTGGTTAAATTTCGATAATCCTCTATAAGGCACTGATATTGTCTAGAATGCAGTGGCAAGGACTATATCTTTCTCTCAGTGATGGATATTCGAAAGGCAGTTGCTGCAGCCGCAGGAACATCGAGTGTTGTCATAACAATAACTGAAACTTGCTTCCAAAATACTTTGGCTTTTGTGAAGTTTATCGGCAGCAAGTTCCTTGCCACTTCTATCCCTTATCCCTTATGCCACATGCCACACAGCAGCCAGGCTGGTGGCATGTTGGTAGCACGTGTCATACAATATTGGTAAAGTTTTTACCCAAAAATACTCTTAAACTAGCAACTGTTTTGGCAACATCTATCGAATGGTTTCTTAATTCAATTGCGAAATTACAATTACATGCTAGATATTGTAATTAATATAAGCCATGAGTGCTGGGGAAGCTGCCAATATTCCAGCAACTGGTTGGGATGAGGGGCTAGACCTGACCTAACCACCTAGCCAACTTGGCACTTGTCCAAAAATATCCACCAACTGTGTTTGAGTTAAGGCTTTAAAAGTTGAGAGCATTTTCTTGGGCCTTTAAAAAAAAATTGATAAATCCAATTAGGAGGATAGATTCCCTGGGCATATCCCTGGGCTTTGTTTTCGATTTTAAAAATAGAATAAAATATAGAAATATTCATGAAATGTCTGGACTCTCCTCGAGTGAAAAATCTGAAATGAAATTTTGTTTAAACTTGCTGGTCGGCATTCTTGTTGCACTTAATATTTATGGCATAGCTGCACTTAATTAAATCCCCTGACAAGCAACTAAAATAAAACTCTTTGATATGCTGCCAAGCCAAGCCAACCCACTCACCCACTCTCGACTATATAAGCCACTGCATTGGCTGAACTTTGTTTTCTGGACACTCCATGTGCTAAAGTATATTACTTTGGCTTGGCTTCTGCCACGACAAAGTTATAATAGACCTTTTTGCCAGAGCACCCGGCAAGGACCAGGGGCGTCGCTAACAGGGCAGGTGGAGGTGGCGGTGTAGGGGCGGTGCACTAAAAGCGGCTGAAAAGCGGCACAAAGCCAGCTCAGCGTGCGTGTGTGGCGGGGGCGGAGGCGGAGGCGGCGACGTGCCACGGCCAACACGGCGGATACGTAACGTTCTACGTCCAATTGCAAATGCGTGAAAGTTGGGTGGTTGGGTGACTGGGTGGTTGGATGGCTGGGTAGTTGGGTGGTTGGGTGGTTGACTTGTTGTGGTGGCAACACTTAATGCAAATTACAATTTTCTAGGCTTGCTGGATGGGAGGGAGGTGATGGGGGTGGTCCTGTACCTGAACCTCCCTACCTGTACAGTCCAATTACCCAGACGACCTCGACACATAACCTTCCTTTTAATGAAAATACAACAAAACCAAAAGCCAGAAAAGCTTGCTACTGGAATGGATATTCAGAGGCTCTTTCGGGGGTTCTATACTCTAAAATATTGAAATGGTCTCTCAGTTATAAGATGTAGTTTGGGAAAGAGACTAACAGACAAGCAAGCAGACTTTTTGTCCATTTTTCCGTGAGGGGATCCCTTGCAAATGGAGTTTTCCCCTATAGGGCCCATGGGAATTGCTATATCTTCGTCAATTCTCATCCGATTCTCAAGCGGAGCACCTTAAACGATTTCTGGATCGATTCTCCATCATTCTGCATCAAAATCCAGATACAAAATATTTTTTAGATTTTTTGTCCATTTTTCGTGAGGGGATCCCTGAAAATGGGGTTTTCCCCTATGGGGCCCACGGGGATGACTATATCTTCGCCAATTCTCATCCGATTCTCAAGCGGAGTACCTTAAACGATTTCTGGGTCGATTCTCCACCATTCTGCATCAAAATCCTGAGACAAAATATTTTTTAGATTTTTTGTCCATTTTTCGTGAGGGGATCCCTGAAAATGGGGTTTTCCCCTATGGGGCCCACGGGGATGACTATATCTTCGCCAATTCTCATCCGATTCTCAAGCGGAGTACCTTAAACGATTTCTGGATCGATTTGCTACCATTCTGCATCAAAATCCAGATACAAAATATTTTTTAGATTTTTTGTCCATTTTTCGTGAGGGGATCCCTGAAAATGGGGTTTTCCCCTATGGGGCCCACTGTGATGGCTATATCTTTGCCAATTCTCATCCGATTCTCAAGCGGAGTACCTTAAACGATTTTTGGATTGA